AAATATCATTCAGAGGTCAAGGTCAAGGTCAAGGTCAGGTCAAGTCAGGTCAGGTCACCAAAAACAAAATATAGAAAAGGGCATGTGCTACACATGTTTTATTGGTCATTTTATTCATAGAATTCAATAGGCACACTCAATAGGTGATATGGACCACATCTGGATGAATTTCAGGTCGAGGTCAGGTCAAGGTCAGGTCAAGTGAGGTCAAATTTTGAAGTTGGTTGTTAAGGCCTAAAAAGGTGTCTATGTGATGCAGTTTTTGACGGCGAATCGAATGGTGCTATTTTTGTTTCCGTACAAGGTCTAGAACTTCCAATAAATTCATTTTTTCAAAATTTTTGTGTGTCGTGACGTCATGAAATGTTTAATAACTCCCACATTGTACAACCGATTCTTCTAAAAATTGGTATGTAGGTGTACATAGACCACATCTCTGACATATATTCCGGTTTTTTCAATACACTCAAAATTTTGGATTTTATTATTATTTTCCCAAAAACGTCAGTTTTTTGAAAAAATTGGCCAAAATCCAAAATTTTCAAAAAACCGAGATAGCCATTTGATAGACGAAGTAGAATTACGTATAACCTTTTTTGTTACGTCTTGATTCCTTTAAAAATGAAGATGTTAGCGGCGTTTGAAATTTTGCCGTTTTTTTAGGCGAAAATGGCGAACATGACGTGACTAAAACGTCAATTTCTCAAAAAATTTCCGACGGATTTCGATCAAATTTTCAGGGAACGTGTCAAATTGATGTAAGAAAAGGTACTAACGGTTTGGCGGCGCTGCGCGCCGCCGTTTTTGAGTTATTGCAAAAATTCGCGAGGGTGGGTAAAATTTACCCCCCAGCCCCGCGCGGGATATGGAGTCAGGGGCGTCGCCGACGGGGGGTCGCGGGGGTCGCGACCCCCCCCACTCGTCAGAACCGGGGGGGTCGACCCCCCACTTTTGGCGATGCTGATCGCTGAGTATGCTTTTTTGAGCTATCATGCCAGTGAAGTTGGCGTCAGCAACATCAACAAATACAACGTCAGATTCAGAATTGCTTCAAGAGCTCCCTAGTCCCTATTGCTTATGTGTCAACTGTCAATAAGCTGTGGGCGTGGAACATCAGCATGACAATATTTTAAAGTAGCCACTATTCTAGTTCCTTTTTATCTCTCAAATGAGTGAGCGCGCCAAAACTGACCCAAGCGTTCGTCTGATTGTCAAAATAATGGTTGCAGTCGATTCGTCGGATGACGTATCAGTAACTACGAGGTACCTCAGCCCTGACTACCCTCGGACCTGCCTGCATAGGGGAAATGGGGTCAGATGGCGGACCCCTCTCGGGCTCACCCAATAAGACTCGCAAAAAGGAGCATATTGCAACGAAACTTCCAGTGACCTCGAGTTACTGAATTTTACACCTAGGGGAAAGTGGGTGTATTGCGCCCTCCTAACCAATTGCGCCCACCAACATTCCCACGGATTCAATTGCATGTTTTGAATTTTGTGTTCGAAAACATTATTTTCCCCACTGGTTAGTTCTTTTTATGGCCCAAGCTCTCCGATAAAGCCAATCAGCAAGACTCATTACGCCATCAAAGATGTTACGGCGTTTTCTTAACTTTTTTGCAGTATTTTGAACCATTGGCTATTAAAGTTTGTGATAGTTGGGTGATTTTCAGAGTGATATTTAGAATGAAAAACCCTTTTTTCATTATATTTCACTGAAACAGTAAACTTCCTTCAACATCTTTGTGATGACTTCTACGCTTTTATTAAAAAGTACCTCAATTCTAAATGCGCCCATGGCAATTGCGCCAGGGGGGCGCAAATAGAATAATGGTGTAGCTATTATATCACGACAGTATGAATGCATCATTAACTGATTGCAATAGAGAAGGAGTTTAATGTCAGGCAGGGGAGCAACCCGCTGTCGTCAGTCCGCAAATTATTTCTCTCGTCAAACTTATAATGCAGCTGCCATTTAGGCTTCGAACTTGTGGTGTAATTGACAAAATACAACATTTTCAACATGGACTTAGGCGTGAGAGGTGACAGCTATGATAAAAAGTAAAAACTGATGTCATAAAGCTGTCGAAACGATAATAATTATTAATTTTGAGAGAAACGATTGAAAATGTAACCGTATAGGCGCATACGTTCACATATATCTAGTCGGTTACAATAAACGTTTTCGTTGCACTTTTACAAGCGTACGGACACATGTAAAGTTAACTACCTGGGTAAAAAACATCGCGATTTACACCTACATTTATTATTTAACCAGCGTGAATAACATACTAAATGTTAAAGTAAGCCGCAATGACATTAAACTGCCGGGGTGCATGCATTCCGTCTCATTCGCTTAGCCATGTTAAAGTATAGGGCGCAATTGGGTTCTAATTGCGCCATCCCCCTGGCGCAATTTACAGCAGTTGTTGGCAAATGCGCCCTTTTGCATGTTTCTGAAAAGCAGCTGTCAGAAGCAAACGAAACATTCTTGATTGATCGGGAGGCTCTTAAATTGTAGCCAATGAGTTCCTCTTTGAAATGGTTACCAGTGCATGCTTATATCTCCAGCGGTTTTCTTACAATTAGCGTTTTTCCTTAAGGTGGCGCAATTCACCCTCCTTCCCCTACTCTAAAAATTTATTGGCCCTGATTTGAATACGGATGACTTTGGTTCACTTTTTGAGTTTTATTTGCTTCCTCTTACCTACAAGTGTAGTTTTTGGAGCTGATTTCAAGTTTAACGCCCGTTTGAACATAAGAAGTAACTAGTTTTGATAAATGTTGGTTATGTAACATGTTACGAAACTATCGTTGGTGGTTGTCACCCACTCTAGATGGCCGGCAGGAAGCCTGCTGGTCAATCTGACCTGACCCGACCCGATCTACGCCAAATGCATGGAGTCATCTTTTTTTGTTCATAACTAACATCGAACTCGTACTCGGGAGTCGGGACCCCGATAACAGCTACGGCTCACGAAGTTCTAGCGGGCCAGATTTTTCCTACTTTTAGGCGTTGACCTAAGTTGACCGGCCGAGACCTTGAAATTGGGCATCATCGTCTTTCTCTCATCACGGACAGCATCCTCGCTTTTCCGCAAAGCTCTACCTCGATCACGGGCCGAAAGCATACCTTAGCGTTACGTTGGTAATCGTTTTACATACCTTATAGCGATCCATAAAACACGAATAAGAGCTACAGCGACACAGAAAGCGTATTCGATAGCTTTTTTAAAGCTCTTTCGCCAACTTCGCCTCAGATATGACTTCGGGTCTATGGCTTGTGTACCACAGAGGCCAAACAGCTAAACGGACGGATTTTGCCGAAACATTTGTTCTGTTACAACCTATGATTCAGTGAATGTAAAGGTATGATATTCATGTTATCACCATCGTGTTTGTTTCGTTGAAACACGTCGCATGGCTTACAATTTGAACTTAAAAACTTAACTAGAAAACTTGACATCAGGTAAAGGTCATGTCCTGACCGGAAAAGAACCTGCTGCATATGGATCGATCTGTGTTGCTGAGCTGAACACACCCCAGGTGCTGTCATCGCTCTACAGCGTCTCCATCAAAAGTTGTTGTCGAAAATGTGTTAGAGACCTTTGATGACCTAATGACTGACCATTCGAGTCACCACTGGTCATTAGCTGCACCCTGTCTCTAAAATGAGCAAGGTGCCATGGCTACAAAAGTATCTAGCGCTCTTTTAGCATATTCGTTCAAAGCAGAGGGCATTCGTGCTTACTGCTTTTTCCCATATCTTATCATGATTGTTGAGGTCACATATTTGACCTGACTTCACTTCTCAGATGTAAAATCCCAGATTCATGAACTGTTGGCACTTATAATCCCATTCATTACACCAAATTTCAGACTTATAGAAGAAAATTTATAGGAATGACAAGATTGCAGTTTTTAGAGGCATTAAAACTGAAGTTGACACGACATTGTGACCTGACCTCAGGCGACCTGCGCTTGATTTTTATGCACGATGCAAAAGTGATGTACAATAAGAAATACCGCTGCTTCGTGGCGCTGCGCGCCGAGGCTTTTCTCAACACACGAAAAAACCGGGAGTGTGGCTAAAACACCCCTACCCATCAAGACGAAGACCGGAAACCCGACCCCCCACTCAAAAATCCGTGGAGACGCCCCTGTATGAAGTTAATGACCCGGATGAGGAGAACCGGATTTTTAGAACTTAACCATACCTTCAAAACTCATGGAAACGTCTTAAATTCTTCAAATTTTGAGTACCCCAGTGCGAAATTCGCCCCGACGGGTTGTCGGTCGTACCCTAACCACATTTCACACCACTATGAACAATAAATGCACACACTAAAATCGCTATTACCGATAGGCTCATCCAATCAAGTTTCGATAAACCCGTTCATCATGATCTCCTGCGGTTTCGAACACGCCTGTTATGTGGCTTCTGCTCATACTTTGTGGTGCGGTGGTGGTGCGTCGGGCCGCGCGCTCTGACTTCGGCCAAGAAAAATGCGTCAGCTGATCATTGTCATTTCTGCCACTTTCGTGTGGTGAGATGGGTTCATAACTTAAGAGACGGCTGTTTCATATCAATTATTTTACATAAAATCATATTTCAAACCATAAATTAATGTCCGACAGCCAAATTAAAGAAACAATACCAATACAGGCTTACAGTTTAAGTTCGCCATTGTCTTGTCTACGATAAGACAGCTGATAACTCATTCCCGTACGTCGTAACTCTATAATGACCTTTGCTTATTGTCACATGTGCGCCGCATTCGCGATTGCTGCCGACGCCTGTTTGCAGGTCAGCCCACTACAGTTGTTCTACATATCGATAAACCGATAAACTTTTAGGCGAAAAAAGCACTATTCCAGGCCCTTTTTTGCGACAGTAGGTAAAAACAGAAGCTTCTTATCCCAGGAAAAATAAAATGGGAAATCATTGGAAGGTGGCACACTCCCTTTAATGCTCTACATATATATGTCAATTTCCCCAGTGGTTCTCTCCTGATTACACCTGCTTTGGTTTCCGACTTCACCGGTGGTTGAGCGTCTGGCCGAGATGGTCACCTGGACCGGCCGACTATGGCTGGCTGTGCCGCTGCTGGTCGTCGCGGCGCTGGCGGGCCGCGCCTCCGCGCAGAGCGTGTGCGTGGCCTCGGGCGTCCTGGTCGAGAGGACCGTCTGGGACACCGGCATGAGCGCTGACATGAAGCTGCAGTTCGCGTCGTCGGTCAGCAGCTGGACCGCGGAGGTTACGTTCGACCGCACCCTGACCGGCCTGGACACCTGGGTGGCCGACATCGCCACTGCCGACAACACCGTGTACACCTTCACCAACAAGGGCTACAACGGCGCCCAGTCGGCGGGCAGCGAGCTCAAGGTCGCGTTCAACGCGTACTTCAATACCAAGGCGGATGTCATCAGCATCAAACTGAACGGCGAGGAGCTTTGCACCGGTACTGCGCCTTCCACCACGACCACCACTTCTACCACCAGCGCTGCCACCACGACCACCACTTCTACCGCCGCCACCACGACGGCGGCGCCTCCGACCGCGGGCACCACCGCGCCGCCCACCGGCCTCCCCTACGACTACAGCCTCGTGGTGGAGAAGTCGCTGCTCTTCTACGAGGCGCAGCGCTCCGGACCGCTGCCCGCCAGCAACCGCGTCCCGTGGCGCGGCGACTCGGCCCTGGCGGACGGCTCCGACGTCGGCCACGACCTCACCGGCGGCTACTACGACGCCGGCGACCACGTCAAGTTCGGCTTCCCGATGGCGGGCATGACCACGGTGCTGGCCTGGGGCGCCATCAGTTTCGCGGACGGCTATCAGGCGGCCGGGCAGAGCGACTACGTGAGAGACGCCATCCGCTGGGCAACAGACTACTTTGTCAAGTGTCATGTGGAGCCGGACGTCTTCTACGGACAGGTGAGATGGAACAGCAATCAGACAGTGATGCGTCCCGAGGTACATAACTGATATATGGTGAAAAGTTTCACGTTAGGTTTAAAAGGGTACTTTTACGGGAGAAATTCACAAGCTGCCAGATAGTAAACTTTCGGGACGTTGATTATCAGTCAACTCAAATGAATACATATCGGTCATGTGACCGTATGAAGTCGGATTCTCGTACGGCACTGTTGATGATCCCAGGTAGGTGACGGCGACATCGACCACGCCTGGTGGGGACGTCCCGAGGACATGGCCATGTCGCGGCCCTCGTACAAGATCACGGCCTCGGCTGCTGGCTCGGACCTGGCCGCCGAGACGGCCGCCGCGCTGGCCGCCGCCTCGCTGGTGTTCCGCGGGTCGGATCCGACGTACGCCGACCTGCTGCTGACGCACGCCGCCCAGCTGTACCAGTTCGCCGACCAGTACCGCGGCCTCTACCACGACAGCATCGCCGACGCCGCCCAGTTCTACAGGTGAGCCCGAGCAGCGTCTCCGTGTGACGAGTCGCAGTGGCATCCTCTCAGCGTGTGCCGTCTGACTTGCGGTTCAGTTGCTAGTGAAAGGCATCGTTTTTATAGTGGTGCAGCCACATGGCACGTCCACCTTTGCCCTATGTTTAACAACAGCTTTACAATTCACAACCTTTCTCTGACACCTGACGCCTATCGACCAGCACCACTTCAGTCTAAGTCTTCGGCTGAGCGAGGAGGTTCACGAGGCATGCTCTGGAACCTCCTCGTGCAGACATGTGGACAGCAGCCCTGACCCTGACCCAAGCGCTAGGTCCCGCTGTAACCACTCGTTCCGCGCGACAGGTCCTGGAGCGGCTTCGCCGACGAGCTGACCTGGGCGGCCGCCTGGCTGCACCGCGCCACCGACAACAGCAGCTACCTCAGTGCCGCCGAGCAGCACTTCCAGGCGTTCCCGGCGCTGGGTCAGCGCGCCAGCGAGTTCTCCTGGGACGGCAAGCACGTGGGCGCGCAGCTGCTGCTGTACGAGGCCACCGGCGACGGCCAGTACGGCCAGCTGGTGAGCCAGTTCTGCGACTGGCTCGTCTCGGGCGCGCCGCGCACCCCGCAGGGCCAGCTGTTCCTGCAGCCGTGGGGCTCGCTGCGGCACGCCGCCAACGCGGCGCTGGTCTGCCTGCAGGCGGCCGAGGCCGGCTTCAGCCCGACCACCTACCGCGCCCTCGCCAAACAGCAAATCAACCTGATGCTCGGCGACGCCGGCCGCAGCTTCGTGGTCGGCTTCGGCGAGAACCCGCCGCTGCGGCCGCACCACAAGGCCGCCTCGTGCCCGAGCGCGCCAGCCGCCTGCAGCTGGGACCAGCTCAACACGGCCGAGCCCAACCCGCACGTGCTGAACGGCGCTCTGGTGGGCGGGCCCGACTCGGAGGGCAACTACGAGGACGTGCGCACCGACTACGTCCACAACGAGGTCACCACCGACTACAACGCCGGCTTCCAGGGCGCCGTGGCCGGGCTGCTGTCGCTGCACGTCCGCGGCCTGTACCCGGCCTAGGCGCACCGTGACCCGCTCCATCCACCCGGCCCTGAGGCCCGCTCCGGCGCCTGACGGCACCAGCCGGCGCGCTTCGCGCCGTGGGCGATCCGGCTTGCGTCTCAGCTGTTCCATGGTGGATGGTTACGAGGATCAGTCGCCGGACGGCTGTCCGCCAACGTCCAAAATATACGGGCTCACATGGGATCAACATCGGGGGGAGCTTTCTACTGGGGACCTGTGTTGTCTTCTGTGTCAGGGGAACACTTCTTATGTGGCGCCCGCTAAAATGCCTCAATCGCCGTATGGCAATCACATGGGCGCCATCTGATGGGTTGACTTGGTCGGTTTGGTTGGGAGTGGCGGTACGTACGTAGCGCAGGTGGAGGGATAAGGGACGCTGCTTGTCGGAGCCAACAAATACAGCTTCCCGATTGTTATGTATGTATGTATGACTGTTACTGCGCCCGGCCCCGGTCCGGGGACCGGTGCAAAATATTATCACGTGCCGACTTTGTCACCAGCATACTGAGATGGATTCACACTCACAGTTTCTGCTACAACTTCTGACACAAATCCGTATGCAACATTTATTTTACCGCATCGTGTCGCATCCGTCGCCACGTGTCGAATGAACTATTGCTTGACCTGAAAAAGTTCACATGAACCACGAACATAGTTATGTTCATGGTGAAGGTAATGAGTCATCATCTGACCTGTCGACCGGAACACATGCCATATTGAATACCAATTTATTGTTTTGAATGACCTTCTTACAAAATAAAACTTTTACATTCTTGTATATTTATGTTTTAAAGCATAATCTATTGATCGTAATTTAAAAATATAAATATACAGGAGTATAAAAGTTTTATTTTGTTAGGAGGTTATAAAAACAATTCATTACCATGATCAATTGATCATATGGTCACGGATGCAAAAACGTCCTGTCACTCATATATTCAACGCCGAGAGTTTCAAAACATTCGTTATGTTGATGTAGCAATCAAACTTAGCACGTTCTTAACCCGCGCCCGGCTGGGGGTCCTGGATTTACACGCCGTGCTGGGGGGGGGGGTGTTTGAACACCCCTTCTAACTCGGCTCCTGGGCAACGTAGCGATACGCGAAAGGCGGCGTTCGAAAGAGCGTCAAAAATAATGACGAAATCACTTTGGTCAATTTTTTGGTCAGGTCAAAGGTCCAGGTCACCAAAGGTCATTGACGGCCAAATTTCGCCGATTTCCAGGTCGAATGTCGACAATTTCCAAGAAGCCAACGCATAACTCGGGAACCAATAGAGCTACAGCGCCGCGGAAAAGCGCATTCGATAGCCCTATTAACGCCCTCTCAGGTTTGACCTAACGTCAACGGTTTTGCCTGCAGGGGGCAAAAACTGCAAAAACAGCCGATTTTTTCGGAAACAGTTTTTCTGCAATAACTTTTGCCCCAAGCCTTGTACGAGCTTACTTTTACCGGCATCGTGTTCCTCTCGTCAAGACGCATCGAATGAACTATATCTTTACCTTGAAAGGTCAACTTGAAAATTTGACCTCAGGTCAAGGTCATGTTGACCGGAAAGGGTCATGTTGCATAGGGTAGGGTGGGGTAATTTGAACATGTGGGGCAATTTGAACATAGTGTGAATAACACAAAATTACGGAAAATCCATAAGTGGGATGACAATAAGACCAATGAGAGAAACTATCGTAACTAAAAGGGCTATCATATGGACGGGGTTTAAAGTTTCAGGGAATGAAGATATTGACGAACAGTGTAAAAAATCAATTTCGCAAGGATAAACGCCTAACAACACGTCATTGCAACTTCATTGCAGCGCAAAATCTTGCATTGCTAGCGCCTAATACGCAACGGCTTTTGTTGTACAATGACCTAATCAGTGCCTTCAATGCAAGAAATTTGCTTTTGAACCCTGTTTTTAAAAATGGCAAAATAACTTTTAGCGTGGGGTAATTTGAACATAGTGTGAGAATTTCAATGAAGACAGGGATAGCTCAGAAAACAAACAACGCTCCCAGTTTTTTTTTTGCCAATATTTTCGACCTAAAGCAGTAGCAGATAAGTGATGCCAGTTTTAGAAAATTTACGTCTAATATCCGTCTAATGCCCGGCATATTCGTTGATTTTCCGTCCAAAAATGTTAAAGTCAACTATTTGTCCAAATATGTCCGAAAATTATGCAGCTGTCAACACTCAAAACTGTCATTTATATTGCTTATCAATTATCATGTAATTTTACCAGCCGAAAAGTGTTCATTATATTGATAGCTTAATCCATTCGCCAATCAATGCTACGCACGATTACTTGATAAAAATGCTTAAGCGTGGCAGGCCATCGTCCAACGTTGTCCAGACTACTATACCTTTGTGCAATCAATTCCGCATTGGACATTATAAAGAATCGGAACTCCGAATGTCCAGGTTCCGATTGGCACCACTATAACAGATGAAGTAAGGTTTGGTAGAGTTTTTATCGAACGGAGATGATAGACGTTCTGTTAATTGAAGAGAGGCGAATTCTGTCAACTGACCGGTGTGCAGCGTGCAGATATTAATGCTCTGCAACTCTTATTTTGTTGTTGTGTTGATTTTTCAAATGATGGTATGTTTAAATTGCTCTGCCCATTCGTTTATGGGTCAAACAACATCGGTGCTGGCGAGACTATCGTTTTTATGGCAGGTAAAGGCAGTATGTTCAAATTACCCCACGGTGGGGCAATTTGAACACACCGTGACTTGGTGGAGAAGTGATGCTATGCTATTCAAGGTAAGCTCGGCTCGTCCAAAAATGAGGCTTGCATGGTGAAAGCAAGTGACACATGCGCTACTGAAACAGTTTTTCTTCATCCAGGGTTGAGCTGGAATTTGGTACAACGGAAAAGACGTAAAAATATGTTTAAATTACCCCACACTACCCTATCAGTCGACCCGTATCGTCGAGCTGAACACATCTAAGGCGTTTTCATCGCTCTAGCATGCCTCTATCAAAAGTTATTTGCGAAAAACTATTAGATACCATTCGTGACCTAAGATGACCTCAGGGCATAAACAGGGGTCACGGACACCATTTTCCTGTTCAGTCATCAGTGTGTCTAAACCACTTGTAATTCAGTGTTTGGGAGTGTTTATAATGTCTTTCGTCCAAAAGAGGCGCATTTCAATTTTGTCCCATTGACTTATAGGTAATAGGGAGGTCGCAAAATTGACCTGACCTTAGGTCATCGATATCAAAATTCTGAGTTAAACATTTTGTACATGCTATTGCTGTTAGCAATCGCTGAAAGTTTCAAAGCGATGGGTCACACGGTGTAGCTATAACAGACATTGAAACTTTTTATGAGGTGAGGTCACTTCAAGTGACCTGGTGACCTGACCTTGAAAGACCTTGGTCTGATATTTTAACAACATGTGTAGAATTGATGTATGATAAAATGTACCACACGTTTTTGAGATATTCGCGAAAAGCCACAAGGGGGGAGTTCAAACATCCCCCCCTCCCCAGCAGGGCGCGGGTTAACCCGCGAGTTGCTGGGGGGGGCGTTAAACGCCCCACTTTTTTCGCCGGGCCATAGCATAAAAAACGGCGCGCCGCAGGCGCGCCAAATTTTGGGTACCTGTAGGGAATTGATTGAAGTTTATTGTGACAAAGTTTCAAAAAAATCGGTCGGAAAATTTTTGAGATATCGAGGTTTTAGTGACGTCATGATTTCTGAGTTTTCGACCAAAAACGGCATATATTCAAAAAATCATATAAAATCACATAATAGACATACAGACATGCCGTAAACGCCATTAGACTGCCAATACCATGATCAATCAAATGGTTATCTTCGATTATTGATTATCGTTCCGCATTTTCCATAATCTTGAACTGAATCTTGGCAATTTTTCGTGACTACTCCACGACCATGATACATGAATTTATTAAATTGAACTTTTTGAGCCAAACACGTACACATATAATTAAATGAATGTCACCATCGTGTTCTACGCCCCAAATTGCCTATAAAACATGTGTCACAGACTGCGAATATCAGTTTTGATTTTCGGGGATATGTGCCTACCCGGTTGACCTGACCTTGACCCTGACCTATGCTTGACTGACCCCTACATGGAGCTGACACTCTTGTAGGCCTTATAAGATGGATTGTGCAACGTTTTGACAGAGTTTATGGCGAGAGGCGCCCATTGCGAAGTCCTGAAGTCCATGCTACTGAAAGCCCGATTTCAGGTGTTTGACCTGACCTTGACCCGACCTGTGACCTCAAAATTCAACTTTAAGGTACTCATCTGAAGCGTATCGTCGCGCTCTTTCGTTTGCCGCCTCGTGCGTTTCGCTGCGCCTATTGGTTCTCGAGTTATCGGCTGGGGGCGTTTAACCCTATTATGTAGTGGCAGGGGGGGGTTGTTTTTATCCACCCCTCAGGTTTTTTGGGAATATCTCCGAAACCGCTGAAGCTACGATGCTGAAATTTTCTGACTTTTCCTAAAACTAAATTGGGCACATTCCCTGAAAATTTCAAGTTCATAACTTTACCAGGGGCGGCTCCAGAGCACTGGGAATTGGGGGGTCCTATTCGTGAAGCGAGTCATTTGGGCGAAGATCACGATGCTGCACCAGTTTTACGAACAGTGAATGACAGGTATCATGTGATAACATATACAGTTATTGTGCATCCTCTTTTGACACGTTTTTGCTATAATAGGCGGATCCAGGCGTCCAAAAAGGGGGGTTATGTTTTACCTCCCAACATAGGTGCCCTGACACCGCCTATGCATGACCAATACAATTGTAGTCGTTCTCTCATAGGAAAATTGTAACATATCAAGACCATTACCACCCTTTTTAGAAACAGTACCAACAAAAACCTTATTTACTATATACTTTTTGTGTACCGCCAATCTCAATGATCTGTGCCTATGATTTTTGAAAATGCATATTTTTAGGATCCATGTGAATTCCTGGTTCATTCTCTATCGATCGGCAAAAGTTGCGTTAAGATTGGTTCAGAAACCTGGCCGTGATAAACAGTCTAAAATGTATCTGCAATTTGCCCGTTTTTACTCCCCTCAACCCCCCCTATTGACATTTTTTTAAATTTTTATTTTTTAGAAATGTAGATCACGTTGAGCGAAATCGAATGCCGTTTGAATTTTGAAAATCGGCCCGTTAGATCTCGAGATATCAAGGGGGGGTCGTAAACAGCCCCCCCTGCCACTAATAGGGGTAGCCAGGAGCCTGCCACTAATAGGGTTAACGCCCCCCCCCCCCAGCAAACGGTGGGTGGCGAAATACCCCAGCAACTGCCGGGTTAATTCCCTTAACCCTATTCCTGGCGGGCTCCGCCGGGACAAGAAACTGGCGGGGGGGGCCGATTCGGCCCCCCCCTGAGATCTCGAGAACGAAGCAAGATAGCGACAA